TCTACTTGAAGAAATAGAATTTCCTCAGATTCACCTGTAGACATTGATTTGCAAGATCCATTAGATTAAATTATTGCTCTTTAAATTTAGTAACATGAAAAGGGGCTTATGGATAATGTTTTCCCTAATCTTATTGTCTCAATTAATATTTCCCTCTTCCTCTCATGAAATTGAGTTTGAGGGGAGATAGAACTCTACTATATACTTATATTATATATTGTTTTCTGTTTATTTTATTTTATTTTATTTATTGTAATTTTTGTGGACATGGGTGATGATTGCATATGCAGAATATGATGTTAAACAGCTCGAAAATCATGTCCTATGCATCAATCCTAGCTTCAGATTTCAATCAACAGAGATGCTTAGTGTCCATTTACTCACCTAACTGCATTCGGTTTTTTTTTTTTTTTTTCAATGCTATTCTGAACTTTAGCAGGAAGTTGTACCTCACTACTATTCATCATCAAAATTTAATAGAAAGTGTTGTTAAATCATACCATGTACCCCTTGTTTCTTTTAGTTCACAGATTCTGCCCACTGACTTGAAGGAATGAAGGGTTATATTACATTATTACTTATATTGGGTTTATATTATAAATATCAAAATGCATTAGTTAGAAAATGTTTTATATATATATTGGTCAGGCTGATTGAGTTAGTGGATTTTTGGATATACCCCTATGTATAGTTCTAAACATTCTTATCAGGGATTTTATTGTATGTCAATTAAGGCAGCAATTGATAGATTTTAGACATGACATGGGGATAGTTTGCTTTTGACATTTTAGATAGAGAACTTAGATTTATTGGTTTAGCACATTTGTTTGTTTAATGTTATTGATGAAGAAAGGAATATTAGCTCCTTCCCATATACCCTCCAACAGCAAGACAATCTCATTACACACTCTAATATAATCTTGCATTGATATACTAAAAGTACTTATATAAAAATATAAACATTGGGCATTATCTCAATCGCGCAATGCGCGTGAAAAACTAGTACATATAAGAAAGGGTTCCGGCTGGAACACTTTACTAGGTAAAAATTGAGAATAGTTCTAGTTCATCCACTTTGGTAAACACTGAAGGTGTGCATATTTAACAGTTAGGGTGCGCCATTTTAACATTTAAGGTACATCATGCTACAACTTAAAGTGCATCTTTGTAACACTTATAGCCCGTTTGGTTCACGAAATAGGCCGGGAATGACATAGCATTCCTAGTAATAGGCCTATTCCTTTGTTTGGTAACCATTTCTAATAGCGGGAATAACATTCCTAGTAATAGCCTATTACCTCAAATAAGGTAATAGCTATTACTAGGGCCCCCTGTTATTAGCCTATTACTGAACACTCAGGAATAGATTTTAGAATCTATTTTTTTTTTACCCCTTTCTTTAACCTAATTTTTTTTATCCTATATATAAATTTATCATATTTCACCACCGTCTCCGCCACCACCACCATCACCGCCGCCTCCGCCGCCACCACCACCACCATCGTCGTTGCCGCCACCACCACCACCACCGCCACCACCACCATCACCACCAACGCCGCCGCCGCCACCGCCACCGCCACCAGAACCACCACCCAGCAGCACCACCGCCACAACTGTCGCCGTCCCCACACCACTGCCACAACTGTCACCGTCACCACCACCACCGTCGCCCCCACCACTGCCACCACCACCACCACCACCACTACCACCCCAGCACCATCACCCCAGCACCACCACCGCCAGCACCACCACCACTACCACCATCGCCACCATCACATATTTTTATAAGGGTATTTACATCTTTTAAAACATATTTCATTTCTATTCCTTAAATCAACCAAACACTGTAATATAATTCCTAAAGTCTATTCCTTTCGCGAACCAAACAATAGAATACAATTCATATTCTATTCCTTGTCTATTCCATTCCTTATGGAATAGCATTCCTATTACTTCAAAATTCATTCCGTGAACCAAACGTGCTGTTAAGGTGCACCATTTTTACACTTTGTTTTTTTCAACTTAGGACGCGTTTTTTGTTTTTTTTTTTTTTGTTTTTTTGTTAATTTTCATTGATTATTTGAGCCGTTGGTCTAGATTTTATCAACGACTCAGATCTCACATCATCTTTCACCTGGGAGCCTTTCCCGCCCAGTGAAAACTTTTGGTAAATAAAAAAGATTTTGTTTTCCCGCCTAGTGAAAACGTCGTCGTTTGAGTAATTGGTCAGATTTTCGGCGCATATATTGTTGGGTAGTTTCTTGTTGGTATACCCCAAAAATAATAATCCTACGAAAAGATTATTATTATATGAAAAGACAAATAATTGGGAAGGAAATGGTGGGTAATTTGGTTAAAGGTTAGCACAAGTTGAACGAAAATGTTCCTTTCCTTAAAACCTTATTTGCTACCTCCCACAAGTGTTAGGAGCGTTGTAACCTAGGTTTCCCAGGATAAAACGTGCTACGGTTCAACGTTGTTAAAATTATGCTGCTACTCTCAGTTTGGGATTTGATTTGCACCCCCCTGCGCGCGAGAGAGCGCCTTGATTGTAGCAAAAATAAGATGTGAGCTTAGGTGTGTTATGTCATCCTCAGGGGATTGGGAGATATGGCACACAATACGCAATCACAAGAAACTAGGCACTAGCACTAGGCAATCAACAAGAAGCTAAGCAAACCATAACGAGGATGAGACAACGGTAACTAAACAAAATGCCAGAAACACATATGAACAAGAGATAAATACGAAATAAAGAAATATGACTCAAGCTAGGGAGCATTATCATCTAGATGCTTTAACAACCTAAGGGATTAGGGGGAACAAGTAACCAAGGAATCAAGCGAGAATGCACGTAGGTATCCTAGTCTACGAACCATTCTCGTGATTAATAAATAAGGATTAGAACAAGGAATTGCCCCACTTTTGTGGTGAATCAATTCCAAGTCCATCAAGCACACAAAGCATCTAAAGCCCCCAATTTCCCCTATTTTCGTAGGAAGAAATCGGGTCTATGCAAGGGGTGGCTTGGATTCATCACCCAACTCTCGTTGAGGTAAGGAATCATCCAAAAACAAGCTAATGAATGTGTACATCAAACATTAGCAAGATATAAGCACAACACCTTCATAAACACATGAACCCTAGGTAGTGTTCTTCCCCTTTTTTACAATAATCACAAACTAAGCATCAAGATATGAAATACAACCCTAACTTAAGTCCATAAACTAACTACTCATGATTAAATAGCATAAAGAACACAAGCATGAAACATAAATTTTGCAAAAGAAAGAGATAAAAGGAAGGAAAGCTTCTCTAATGAAAATGGATGGTGGAATCTTGAAATGTTGGAATCCAAGCTTCAAATCCAAAATTACAAGCTTTAAAAGTGTTAAGAAACCTAAATCTAAGCCTAATCTAACCTAAAAATATGAAGGGAAGTAAATGAGAGTGTCTAGGGTTCTAACAAGAGTCAAAACCGAGTTGAAATGACACAAAAACGCGCCTAAATAGAGCAGAGCACAGTGGGACGCCCTCAGGGATGGGTGTATGCCAGGGGGTACGATTTTGGTGCATTTCCAGTGAAAACTGGATTAGGGAGAAGAGATGTGTACTGGCCAAGGGATGGGGGTACACCAGGCAGTACGAGGCTCTTGGAAACAGAATTTTATGCACTTGTCTTGACTTCTAGGCTATTTTTCTCCTCTAAAACCATTTTATTGGCACTTATGGTCTTCAACAAAGTTGTATCCCTTTAAATTGACTTTCCAATGGTGTAAGAATCACTTCATTTGGACATTCATAGGCCGAGATATGATCGAAAAACCGAACAGTGTCCGAAATGAGCGAAAATTACAATTTCTTGATCTTTTGCTCCTCTTTTGTTTTGATTTGCCTAAATGACTAAGACCATTGAATACACCACTCTTAGGTTCCCTTGGACTCCTAATGCATCCAAAATGTTCCATTTGACTCCAATGTCCACCAAAATGCCTGAAAACACTCATCTTTGTTTCTAAACAAGCAAAATGGCTAGTGAAAGGGGGGAAAATATAAACAAATAAGCACTTATCAAGCCTTTATGCTATATAATTCAACAAGCTTAAAAAGAGCTCTTGTATAAATAGTGGGGCAAATCCTCTTCCAAAATCAATGTGGGACAAAAGTTTCACATTTCCCTTCATTTTTCCAACTCAAATGGGCTACTTTGAAAATCAATATCTCATTCACCCATTATCCGTTTTGAGCGTACAATATATCAATCTCTTCGTCTAACTACGAAGAACCCGAATCCACTTTGACCCGATCCATATTGAAAGTGAACCTCACTGATATTTGTACCATAAAATAGCTACTTAAAATGTCATTTTATGCCAATTTATGCTATTTTTCCAACATATATAGCATATTGGTTAGTTTTAGACATCATTAAATAGTAGTAAGTAATTGCAATAATTTCCCTAAGAGACCTTACGGATTTCGAATACCAATATTGCAACATGACGCATTGGTTCTACAAATAATTTCTTAAATGCATTACATCAGTATATATCACTATATATACCCAGATCAGATTGCAAATATTACAGTTCATATCGAACTCTTCAAACAATTAGTGGTCAAGCTACAGATACGCTAAAAGGTCAAATCTCTATGGCTCCAGTCTACATTTATGCCCGAGAAATCACTTCGTTCAAAACTTCATCTGCAATCAAGATTAGATGCGTCAGGTTGAGAGAAGAGGCAGCCAAAGTATAAAATGCAGGGAATGTGTTTTCCACGATGCTTAGGTTAGGGTTTATATGTAATATTTTGCTTCTATGTTTAAACTAGTATTTGACCCGTGCGATGCACGGGATGTTATTTAAACATTTTTAATTGTGTGTATTTTATGTTAAAATTTGTGTGATATATTTGGGAATACAACAAAAAACGTATGAAAATGGTATGTTACAAATAGTTGCAAGGTGTTGGTAATATAAAAAGAATACATTACAAAATTACAAATTATTGAAAACTTCATGATATACAACATTAGTGGTTGATGTAGTAGTTGAACTTGAGTCTTTTACAATCAATATTTTGAGACCGTCTGGATTATTAACCCGAGATGCAGCTACGTACAACTGACCGTGTACAAAAACCGGTTTCTTTAGTATTAAACCTACATGAGTCAACGTTTGGCCTTGACTTTTGTTTATGGTCATTGCATATGAAAGCATCAATGGGAATTGCCTTCGTTGAAACTTGAACGGCAATCTTGGATCCGAGGGTGACATTGACATTCGGGGGATTAACACTTTTGTACCTTTGTTGGGACTAATGAGAAGCTCGCCTTCAATAACATGGTCTGCTAACTTTGTGATTATCAACCGAGTTCCATTGCACAACCCAAGAGAATGATCAATTTTTCTCATTAACATTACTGGTGAGCCGGTTTTCAAATTCAGTGTATGATTTGGTAGAGCCGACACGCGAATGCTGTTCAGAAATTCCGGTGTGTGTACATCTCCAAGTATACCATTATCGCCGTCGGCTTTGCATACTGCGTCTGAACTATAGTATGACCTGCTTTCGGCATTATGCAACTCAGTCATATATTCATTAACTGCGTTGACCACGTCGAGCGTTGGTGCTAGTATAGCACGACCTATCAGATGCTCGGGGTCAGTGTTTCCATTTGCAAACATTAGAAATGTACTTTCCACAATTGCTTTAATGTCGTCCCCCCCGGATGATACTAACATGTGATTAGGTATTTCAACCTCTGTGAATCCGTCATTCCGCCCACCCAGCTTTCCATCGCCGATATTGGCAATCCAGTTAGCAAACTCTTGTAATGCCTGCCAGTTCACACCGTTGTGTACCGAACTTGTTTTGAGGTTTTTAGTCAACCTTAAAACTTTGCAACTATCCCATAGATATGATGAATTTATGGCGGAAGAAACAATGTCTTGCCGTGTACCTTTTGGAACTACTGGAAGAATTTGGCGGAAATCTCCACCCAGAACAACTGTTTTACCACCAAACGTCTTCATTTCACTATTAGGGTCCACAAAACGCAACAAATCCCGCATGGTTTAATCTAACGCTTCAAAGCAATGTTTGTGCATTCTCAAAATAAAACTAATAAGAATCTATTGACTTTCAAAATTGTTTTTAGTTACCTTCATTAGTTGTTCATAATGATATTAAATAAACAAATGTTAATAATAAATTATATTATTATTATAATATGAATCTATCACATGGGAACTATATATACTCTAGAAATACGACTAATATGAACCTATTGATTTTCAAAATTGTTTTAAATTACCTTCATTAACTGTTCATAATGATATTAAATAAACAAATGTTAATAATAAATTATATTATTATAATATAAATATATCGCATGGGAACTATATATATATATATATATATATATATATATATATATATATATATATATATATATATATATATATACCTTCTGCGTATTTATAATAAATTTAAAATATATAAAAATGTTTATCGTTAGTTATAGTACTACTTAGTGTATCCAAATTAGCAGAACAATCCTCTAAGGATTGTCTTCAGTATTTGTTCAAGGGATAAACTTCGTGTGAAAATTGACTTGAATTATTTAACATTCTCCAAATTGTCTGCAATGATTATGAACATAAAATATTTATTTAAATATATAATGTCTTAATAATATAACAATAATATAAAATACAATTTATAGCTAAACACATACTATACTTAATAATGTTATATTATAATAGAATTAGAATATATATTAGTAATTCAATTATACTAATCCAGGCCTGCTGAATATCCAAATTAACTTGGACCAAATAAAAGCCCAACAAACATGGCCCGAACGACCCTACCCTTACCATATTGCTACCCGGACCATTGCCACGCTTCCCCGATCCTTGTTCTTTTCTCCGGGGAATTTCTACAACTCTCTCTCTCTAGAATTGTCTTGAATTCTGCTCTATTTTCACCAATTCCATAGCTAAATTCATCGGGGGTAATCGTTGAAACCTTGAATCTTTCTCAGCAGATAGACTCGAGTTCTTAAGGTGTTTTTCTCAGTTTCTCTATACTTATGAACAAATCGCACCGAGTGTGTACCCTAATTTCAGTTTTCTACACCGATTCTGTGTTCTTTTCTGGATTATACAATTTGGTATTTTGTACACCAGACCGGAGATCTAAACCTGAGTTCAACAACAAATCCTGGGTGTGCACTCTTAATTGCCGGCTAATTTTATTTTATTAGGCTTTAAAAGAACAGATCTGAAAGTTCAAGGCTGTTTACCTACTTCAAAGCTAAGACACTGACAGCATCTGCATGGATTGAATCTTCCTACGAAAAAGCTAAGTATACGCTGATTACATATGCATGTTGATCATGTGAGACATCTTTTTGTTTTCAAGCCTATCTATACAGGGATGATTTCATTTTAATTTGCAAGCATATGATGAAAATGAAATTTTGATGTTTCTATTGATTTTAGTTTTTTTTTTTTTTTTTTTTTTATGTATCTGCATAGTTTTTTTAGATATAAGTGTTAAAATCTGCCAATTTTTTATTTTTTTTTGTGGATAAAATCTGCCAGTGTTTATCCACTCATGACCAAGGTTTTTAACCATCCTAACTCATTCTGTGTGTAGGGTGCATCATTCTGTGTTTTATCCAAAGTTTTATTCCTTAACATTTTTATAACATTTTCTGAATTCTATTGTTGACAAAGTTTTGTGCAGACCATTTTAATAAACTCTACAACTATGATTTGATTTATACAAACCTGTTTAGCTTGATTTTTTTTATTCGTTTGGTACCAATTGAATAGTCCAGAAGGCCATAAAAAACAAAGATAGTAAACTTTGTTCATCACACACAAACCAAGCTCAATTTTTTTCTACTTTCACATGGGCATTTATAAATTTCTTAAGATAATCTTGTTAGTATGCTGAGTAGCTGTAACTGGACTATCTACCTCATCACCTTGGGAGCCTTCCTGAAACCATAGGTATTTAGAGCAATCAATTTTCATATATTATTTTAAAAGATGTTTTGTATATGCAACAATTAAAGTAGCATATCCAAGCTTAGTTACCTCTGCAGAATCTTCAGTTCCTTCATCATCTTCTTCAATCATTCTAGATATAAGATCCTTGTCTTGGTTATCATTGAGGTTTGAACAGTAGGCAGACATCAAGGCTTCATCCCTTAGAACCCTCTCACATTATAAGCTGCCGTAGGCCCAACCATTTGATCCTTTTTTACTGAAACCCTAAAAATCATTGACATACCAGACTTTCACATTCTGGAGGAATGTCATTATCAACCTATAAAAAAAATATAAAAAATGTCAATAATAAAACATAACTAAATTATAAGATGTAGTACACTTAATATTTAGCTTTACCTGTTGATACTTTTCAAACAGTGAGATAGCTGGAACACCTATTAATTCAGAATAACTCCAAGGGACTAACAGACAGTCATATGAAATAGGGCTAGTGATAACCAAGAATACTGCTTACACATTGTCCCTGCAAATAAGGAATAATTTGCAGCTGCTATATCCAATTATAAGTACTTTGTTTTACTACAGAATAAGCAAAGGATGATTTTAGTAGTCTAATACTGAAAACTATGGTATAGCTGTGATATTTGAGCTATTTGACTATTCAAATTTTATTGAGCCTATAACAAAAGTAGAAACTGTGATATTTGAGCTATTTGAGCCTGCTAAATGTGACCTACTTTTGTCTGTGTATGTTGTTTACACTAAAATCTTATTCACTTTTTTTTTTTTCAAAAAAATGGAAGATAATGACATTTCCTTCAAAATATACAGATATGTATATTTTGCAAGAAAAAAATAATGTAATACATGTGGTTAGACCTGTTTATTCTTTTTGTTGGGTTAAAAATTAAATTACTTCAATCTGCTTCTTTTATATCTACCTGCAAAACACTTAAAAGCAAAAAAATGCACCAAAACAATATTCCTGATATCACCTACTTTTGCAGTGTAAAAAATTGAAAATCATCATTTTAAAAATTATTTTTTCAGAATCAATATGACCTGCAAAAACACTTAAAAATGCAGAATATTACTTATAAAGTATCCTTTCATATAGGAGCAAATAATTAGCTGCTTTATAACTCCTAATAGATAATAGGTCATATAATCTTTAAATGAAAGGTTAATAGTATTACCATGGGAGATAATATTACCTAAGAAGGGGAAAAAAGGAAGCTTTAATCTACAATCTGATGCTCTATCCTGCAATTTGTATTATATGTATACATGCAATTGTATTTAAAGCATCAGCATGATGTTGATTCTTCAATGTGGAATGTGTCATCAGATTATAAAACAATTACAGTGGATAGAAAAAAAAATAAAGATTGAATTTACCTCCTCATTATGCAATAAGCACTCTTTACTACTCATTTCGCATCCTCTAACATCTAATCAAAACCTTCACATCTTCTTTTGGTGTGCAGTGGACTGATTTGCTTCACAGGAACATATTGAAACGGCAAATTTCTTTCTACAGAACTTTACTTCTTCGCAGTATGAAGTGATTTATGTTTACCTGATTCGACCTCTTTATATAGAGGTTGAATTTATTCAGGATTTTTATAGAACAATGAAGAGGCAAGCTTTGGAACAATCACTTTTTGAAACAATAAGACTTTTCATAAAGGATGTGTTCTATTAGGTTTCAATAACTTCAAATTTGTAACTAAGTATGCAACGCTTCGATTTTCCAGATTTATTTCTATTTTTTTTTTTGAAATTCCTTGGTAACCGATTCATTTTACACGGTATTTTACGCAAAAGCATTAAATTTTTCGGCTTTGTCAAAACGTCGCCGTTCCGGTTGGGCGGGAATTTTTTGCTCCTATTGTTTTGCTTTAATATATATAGAGATATCGTTCTTTGCTTATATATCTAACTTTTTGCAAAAAAAAAAAAAAGTTTATTACAGAGGATGTATGTTCACGCACACATCCCAAAAAAGCGTCTCGACAAACAGTTTGTAGAAGGGTTAATATACTGTGTGAAAAATTTCTTGGTCATTAGTAATTTTTACACCTACCGAACTACCAATCACAAATATATGATGAAATTCAACTATGCAACGTTGGTGAAAGAGTTCAAAGGTAATTAAAAATGACAAGACTCGGTTTGCTACACAATGCCCTTATATGCTTGAAGTTAACAAGGATTTTAGTTCCAAAGTGGAACTGCTAGATGATGATTGGCAGGATGATGAGGTAAGCCAAACAAAACGATTTACCCATTGCTTTTTTCTTTTTTCCCACATGGTTATCTCTTAATTTACTAACTTAAATAGTTGTGATTTATATGACTTCTTTTTTCTGGGGATGAAGTTGAAAGTTCAATGCAGATTTTGGACAATATTATGATTTATAAAGAAACTGAGAGCGAGTCCATTTTAGTACAGCTTTAGTTCAGATAGTTCCTATACGTACCATTTCGGAAGTGTATCAATTGAAGAAGGTATGTAATTACTCTTATTATGATTTTATTTAGGGTTCACTATTTTGTAATATTTTTTCTCTGAACAGTATGGTGATTTCTGGGTAGTTGCCAGAATTGTCTTCATTGAAAGTGACACAGATTGGTGTTATGTCTCATGTAAAAATAAGGGATGTAACAAAAAATTGGTTCCAAAGGAAGGGTTCATGTATTGTGTATCGTGTGTGGAGACTTGAGGCGAGGGAATGCTGAGGTACAGAAATAAAGTGAGGGTTGTAGATTTAAATGGTAATGCTCCTTTTCTATTGTGAGACAGGGAGTGTTTTGAACTTTTGGGTATGAGTGCTTCAGATTTGAAGGATAAGCAGATTAATGTAACTCAATACGTTTTTATTCAAATAAAAAAAAAACTTTATATTTGAGTATACTGGTCACTTTTTTTTTTCTTATTTTGTAGTAGAAAAAGGGTGTTCCTAAGGAGATTGATGCATTGGTTAACGTGACCTTATATATATATTCACACAATCACACTTTGTGTGAACTGTGTCATTATAATT